GACTCCAAACATCTCATATTCGACCGAAGAGTTCTTCCTTTTAATAGTTTTGATGGAGTCTATTTCGTCACCGAATGTCTGGCATTTCTATATTGCAGTAGAAAGGTATCTACTCCCCTCTCCAGCTCATTAAATGTTGAGGCAGCAATAGAATCAATGGCAGTTTTTAACGTCCTGACAAAATTTTCTGCCTGACCATTGGAACAAGGATGTCTGGGAGCAGTAAACAGATGTTTGCACCCTATACCATTTAACCAGGTAGTGACTGCATCTGCAGCAAAACGAGAGCCGTTATCAGTTACTAACACCATTGGAACCCCTTCTCGACTAAACACCTTTCTTAATGCTTGAATTGTGAAGTCAGAATTTGGTGAAGTTGTGAAGAAAACTTCAGGCCACTTTGAAAAAGAATCAATAACTACAAGCGCATAGTATTTGCCAAGAAACGGACCACAATAGTCTGCATGAATTCTCTGCCAGGCCTCAGACGATACTGGCCATGGAGTCCACTTCGAATGCTGATTTTTCAGCTTATGACACTTTTCACAATTGTTTGCTGTACGACAAATATCTGCATTTATCTCTGGCCACCAACATGTGAGCCTCGCCAATGACTTCATTTTTTCAACACCTAAATGTCCACTATGAAGATCTTCTAGGACAGATTTACGCAATGAAGGAGGAATAACAACACGATCATTTAAGCACAAAATACCATCAGGAGTAGTAGATAGCTCATCCCGCTTTGAAAAATAGATAGGAAATCTACGTTTCAAATTAGCATTCCAACCTTTCCGTATAGCATTAATTATACATCCAAAGTATTTACGAGTTTCTATAATGAGATCTGGACGTTTCACTGGTAAAGGTTGCACTAACAAACAGTCTGAAGTATTTACAGGTTTATCTTGTAATGACTGTCGAGAAATGTAGTCAACATGTTGAATTTGTTTGGCACTCCTATGCTGAACGGTATAGTCATAGGCACTCAAAGCAATACTCCATCGTTGAACCATAGCAGCTGAGGAACGTGCTAAGGATTTTTCAGGATGATAAATAAACTTTAAAGCTACATGATCAGTAACAATAGTGAATTTCTTTCCGAATAAATATTTATGGAGTCTTTTAACAGCCCAATACACAGCTAATGCTTCTCGCTGAGTCTGTGAATAACCTTGTTCAGTAACAGTAAGTTTGCGTGAAACACAAATAACTGGTCTACCCTCCTGTTCCAAAACTGCGCCAATACCCACAGGTGATGCATCAGTGATAAGTACAGACTGTACACTAGCGGAGTAAGTTCGAAGAACAGCATCACTTTGAAGAAACTTTAGTAGACTACGTAAGCATGACTCTTGTTCCTCACCCCATTTAAATGTATTGGATGTCAAAATATTAAATAAACAATTTGCACGACAAGAAAAATTAGGAATAAAACGGGAATAGTATTGAAGAGCACCCACTAGTGAACGTAGTTCCGTAAGGTTTTTTGGAGACGGTGCATTTGTCAGTGGAGCTAGTCGTTTCATATCTGGTCTAAAACCATTACCATCAACTAGGTATCCAAGACATTCGAAATTAGATACACAAAATGAACACTTATTTGGATTCACTGTAATATTCTTCTCAATTAAACGACGCAATAAAGCAATAAGTCTCTGGTTATGAACTACCTTATCAGAACCATGGACAATGAGATCATCTTGATAAACTTCAACGCCCTCAAGATCACTAACTACATTATTCATGACTTCCTGAAATATAGCTGGAGAACAACTTAGACCAAATGGAAGGAAATTGTATTTGAACAGACCAAAAAGAGTGTTAATTGTCGTCAAAATAGATGAGGATTGATCTAAAGGGATTTGAAGATAAGCATCTTTTAGGTCAACTTTCGAGAACACGTTAGAACCATGAAGTGGATTTAGAATATCTTCAGCCTCTACCGTCGTGCATGCTTGCTTCAACAAATGTGAGTTCAATGTCAATCTATAGTCACCACATATTCTAGGAGTCTTGCCGTCCGATTTCAGTGGCGTAACAATAGGAGTACCCCATGCTGAAGACTGAATCGGTTCAATTATGCCTTTTGCACACAAATCGTTTAATGTTTTATGTACTGCATCTCGAAGACCACAAGGAATTATTCGTCTTTTAAGAAAGACTGGATCACCCTGTACTTGAAGTTTTATAGGCTGAATTTTCATACCTCCACTGCACTTAGCACACGTGGCTATCAAATCTTTAAGTAAAGCATCATTATTTTCTTTAGAAACTAGGAAAGACAGCTCCACTTTAAGCCTTTTCAAATTCCTTAAGCCCAATATTGACAGTCCTGTTTCGCTAACTAAAAATTCACAAGGTATGTACGAAGAATTATCATCTCTTATTAGCAACTCACAACATCCTCGTATAAACAGTCTGTGTCCAGTAATCCCCAATATTGATACCTCAGTGCGTCGTACCACAACATTAGGATCTAAAGATTTCAAGTTCTTGAATGAAATAATGGACTCTATACTGCCTGTGTCAACAATAAAGTCATGACATGAACCAAGCGATGTATATAATCGCTTTTGAATATGAGCATTACCTTTCGAAACAGTAGACAAAGATAAGTGATCATTAGGAACAGCTGAATCACCGGGATCTAAATTACAAGATTTAGTACTACTTGAGGCAAAATGAATAGTAGCTTTGCATACTGATTGAATGTGTCCTATCTTACCACATCTAAAACATTTAGCATTACGAAATGCACATGAATTACGAGAATGAATTTTTCCACATGATAAACATTTGCCAAACTTGGTCTCACCTTTGTGATTTCTTTTGTAACTCCTTGTTGGATATCTTTCATATTTACACGAGAATAGGAACCACTGTTAAACGAACGCAATTTTGATTGACCTTGAGATTGTATTTCATCATGACGACTAAGCAAAGTATTAGAAATATTCATCGACTGGATATCAAGTTCATTCACTGCCTCGTAGTTAATACACGCAGTTCTAGCATCTTGAAAGGAACAGTTCGGCATTCTTAACAGCTCTCATTCCAAACCGGGCTAGTTAATTCCTGCAATTAATCGGTCTCTCAGTTGCACATGAAGTTGATCACCAAAATTACATTTGGCAGCTTGTTTCTGCAATTCAAGAATGAATTCCTTAACCTTTTGGTCATTTCGACGAGTCATCTTATGAAATTTTGCCCTTTCACGGCATTCAAAACTAGTGCACTTTACATGATTTAATAATAACTCCTTAATAGTTGCATAAGGAAGTGAGATAGGTTTTTCTGGATATACCAAGGTTTTCAATAAGCTGTATGCTTCTTTTCCGATGAATGTCAGGAAATAAGCCACAATTTTATCACCTTTAACATCCTTCTTGGTCATGCTCCAAATTTCAAACCTTTCCAAATAGTCCTCAAAAGCTTCAGAAGTTGAATGAATATCTAACTGTTCCATCGCGACGCCAATATGATAATTAGAAGTATTTGAATTATAGTATGAACTAAGAATCCCAGGGATAACGCAATTGAATTAAGAAGTACCACACAAGCACTAACGAATGTACTGTATTTAGAATTCGAAATCAAACATTCAACAAGTACAAAGGAGTCATTAGTTCATTCAAACACCACACTTACACATGTACTCCACCGCGTCACTCCTCTTCGATATTATGATTGTCCTTACAGATCAATAAGTACAAAATATACACAAACGAAATATCTCCTATGCACCAACACGATTTAAGTCGATAAGTATATACGAAGATAGACGACATATTTATCTCAATCACAATCTGAAACAATCAAACTGGAGTCAGATATTGGGCCACTAAATGATCACACAGTTTACACTCAATACACAATCGGTCATATACATCATCAGCCTTAGAAAAGTTACGATTGATCTCAGGGTTTCGGAACCTTGTTTAATCTGTAGCATTTCAATGAACTAATAACTCTTTTGTGCTTGATTTCCGAATACGTTACGTTCGAGTTTATATAGTACTTCTTCTATAAATCATGTCCTTCCTGGGATTCTTAGTCTATACAACAATTCAGATATTTCAAAAACCGCTTCGTTGGGTTGTTCGTCATTTTCTGGTTCTGTTAAAACACTTGGTGTCCATGCGATGTACGACAATAGGATGAACAGTGTACTTCGTAGCACTCAATGCCTAGCTACTTTTTGGTACCGAGTTTAGGTTAATATAGCTACGTTGTGGTAACGCTGGAGATGCAGCTGACTCTGGTTCCATGAGAAGCGTCAGTTACTAAGAGAAGTCGCAAACGTTTACCTGCGCATTGGTCGTGTTTCGAAATAAACAGCGTTCGAACTCAAACCATCGCAACCGGACACAAGTCCTGTCAAAAAAATATTGTGTAGGACTTTCCTTCAGCACTGTGAAGTTAGTAAGCTCACGGATATCTCGGACCCACCTCTGTCACACTCCACAGACCATAAGTGCTTGACACTGGCATGGAACACCCATTCAGGTCGTGTTACTAGATAAACACCTTTGTTTTTGTTATAATTTGTTAGTCTACTACATGTCTCAGAATAAACGGAAAGTACCAGTTAAAGCGTTGATACACACACACACACCAATACTCGTAGTATTCAACCCTTTGGTCGAGCCAGTTAATATTTTTTTGTTATTTGATGTTATAGAATCCCGGGCTCCCAACTTTGGGGGAATGGCACCGAAACCTCCAGACCCGGGAAAATTCCCCAATATTCCCCTTTAACTCTGGTGAAGGTAATTTAACTTCGTGGATTTCCCCAAAACTTGGGGTTTTCCCCCAAGCTTTGAAGATTGGGATGACTGCAGTTCAAATCACTGATTGACTACCTTATCACATGTCAGTTGATTCCAAGTCAATCATTAAGATTACGGCCTTACATAAAACAAGCACTTAGCTACTAGTCGTACCTATTTTACCTGTCAAATCGGCGTGATAATGTCGGTCAATTTACGACACACAACTAAAGCAAACATTCTATCTATAGAACCGCTTTTATAAAACCATTTTGCACAAATGCCAATTCCGAGAATACTGCTTTTGAATAATGATGATTGGAACCTAAGTTATGTGTCACACGTTGGAGGGACTTGTTTGACATGAACATTACGTCGAAAAAGGAACTCGAAACCCAAACATCAGAATAAGAAAAAGAATGAAAACGTCATATTAAAGCATACAGTTCGTTGTAATGAAGATAATCTGAATTCGTAGATCAGAAATATGAGAAATAATAAGAATCAATGCATAGCTAAACTTGACTTGGTTCCTCGTTAGCGCTAGATGTTGTCTTAGTCAGTTTAGGAGATCCGGAGTCAACTGATTTCATTTCGTCCAGTTTTTGTTGTCGAACATCACCTAATAACTGTTCAGCACCATTATCTCCACCATCCAGTGCTTCACGAGAGCTTTGAGCCAACCTCTTTAGTTCAGATTGAATATCTTTTTGTGAGATCGAGGTCCTATCTGCAGTTAATTTATAAAAATCAAATTATTCACTTAATTTAACATGAGAAACGAATCTCATGAATTTATACAAATTAATTTCGCCAAAAAAAGATAAGAAGCATCAATAACTTGTTAAATATCTTGTGTTTAAGAGCAAACAACTGAAAAAATCAAAGCTACCAATAGAATAAGCAGCTTACTGCTTCGCTAAGAAATTTTTCTAGGTCACCATTCTCTTAAATGATAAACAAGAATAATGGTTTACTATTCAAATACAAATAGCAATCTCAATTTTAAGGAAGATATTTGTAAGAAAACAACAGGTTCAGAGTGAGGTTTGTTCAGAAAAAAACCCTGTCTTGTTAAATCTATGGATGCACTTCTATAAGTCCTTTCAAAGAAGAAACCGATAATAGTAGAAACAATGACGCTAACAAAAATATTCACGAAGCTGATAGAAAAATCAAAGGGTAGAATAATTTTGTGACCAGCTACTACAAAAGTGAACTGATGAATCCAAGAAAAACTCGTCAAATTAGACCCCATATTCTATATAATTACTGCATGTACTGAAACGAAAAGCTTGCAAATCCAAAATTAGTTAAGAAAGTAGAAAGACGAAAGTCTATTCGCTCAGAACATTGCACTTTGCAAGAGCACTGAAGTAATAAAAAACAATAAGAATAGAAATATATCTAGGATAGAATCCTCTAAGAATGAAAAAGCGCAGATACATTTAGGCTATTACGACCGATAATAACCAACGCTACATTACATATAAGAAATCACTGAATGGTATTATTCCAAAGTCTTAACACAATGAGTCAGAAGTAGGCAGCTTCAAACTAAACATCATGAAGTTTATCCTATACTACTCATAACGATGCCAGTATCATCTGTTAAGGCATAAACGAACTCCACATGGGCAATTAACGTTCCTGTAGTCTCGACGAAAGCACGTTTACGGAACTGTCTTATGATTTAATTATCTGTAATCGATTTGAAGGTAGTTCACATCGAACACTAAAACTCGTTTTTAGGAACGTTACTATTTAAATAAGTACACTTGCGACCTTAATAAAAAATAGAACTTATAGTCACTTAGTGTTATATTTACAATAACAACTAACGAACAACCTAAGAAAGCAACAAGACTTGAAAACAGTATTGAAAAAAACATGCCGACATTCTAGCTAATTTGGTTGTACAGTGAAGCAAGTAACAACCGCATTCATCAGTGATGACACATCACCTTGGTTCGCCCTAACTGACTCACATATTGTGTCCTCTACTTACCAATCAAAACTTCGTAGAACTTAATTAGTCTATGGAACAAGTTCCTAGATATGTCCCTGCACTGTCGCACACAGAGCTTCGGTATGGCTAACATCAATGATGTCCGCCCATTCCCCCCTACTTTGTGTGAACTTAAGTGTGTCGCTGTTGAAGATGATGTTACTCCACATAGCAGACTCAGTCCTCTCGAACTAATACGTTTAATGTGTTTATAAGCTTGTTTCCTATACCAAAGTTTAAAGTTAAAGATGCTAATAAGCGAGTAGAGTTCGTCTTTAAAATAAGTTGTGTAAAGTTTGTATGAAAGTGAACTGCCTAGCCAGAAACTGTTGGTCGCGAATGGTAGCTCGATCGAAAGGTGTGGTTGAAGGCGACATACTTAAGTTCACACAAAGTAGGGGGAAGGGCGGAAATTTTGTGTGCGACAGTGTAGACTTGTTCGATAGACAAATTAAGTTCTCAAATCAGATGCACGAGAAAACTGTTGTAAAAGCATCATCTATAATCAGCTTATCTTAAAAATTAGCCTAAGCATGAACAGGAGCAACCAAACACAGCTTTTCTATGAATTCCCCTTGAAGACATAAAGGTAGCGATCCGCCATAAAGGCTGCATACAAAAGCAAAAACTGAATACATATTCATGTAGAATCTAAATACACATATTGAAATTGAGGAATACTGTTATGATGTGCGGTGTCCAAAATCTGATACTGATACAATGCGCTAAACCCGCTCTCAACTGACTAGTTCAGCGAGATCACAAGAGTGAGCGAGAAAGTGCATTGGACTACAGAATGAAATGCACAAATAATCATATATATATATATATATATATATATATATACCACTCTAACTTTAGAAAATTGACCCAACGAAATGCACTTGGCCTTCGGGTCACTTCTGATTGCCATCGATAGATATTTTAATTAGGCTACATCTGACTAGCTCTTCATGTCAAATATTTTAAATAAAGTAAAACCGAAGTGCAGGTTGCAGTAGAGGTAACTGAATCACAAGTAACACAATATAATGTCAGATATCAAGTTCAAAAAAGCCATTACGATAATTCCACTTATACCAAAGTTTAGTAGATTATGAATTAAGTTATTTGAAAAATATACACTTAAGCAGTAAAATTATACACATATCATCCACAATAAACTATCTCATAAGAATTTCAATACGGTCAAATAACAAAGTCCTTAAGCGATAAAAGCAGGAATAAAAAACAAGGTTTCTATAATACGTTGAAGATTAACAAACATATTTCAACGAAACTTGTCCAATTACCTAGAGAACCTTGTGTACTTAGTGATGCAGACGTAGCAATACCGCCAACTCCACCAACAACATGTGTGCGTTTGCTAAGCAGACTGTTGAAAAAATTGGCTAATACACCTTCAGAAGCCCCTGGTCCAGGTCCACCTGTTGTCCCAGAAGTTCCACCAACAGCTGAAGGAGGCTAAAAAATAAACAAGATTTGATTTGTAAACGGAAGTGGGGTAAAGAAGACAATGTCAAAGCTGATATAAAGTGTTGCTACTTACCGAGATTCTGCAAACATGGCATTATTTTGTTATTAACATTCTACTCAATGCCCAATTTATCTGAAATAATTAACTCACACTTTAGTATTGTTACCTATAGTGTTTAGAGCCTCTAAAAATACATTTTATTCGGATTATATTAGCTAGAAACTGTAGACGTTAATGAAAATAAAAAATCCATCTACTTTAAATAAAAATATTAGCTGAGTCAGACAAAAAACGCTGAGTAGCTGAAGCTTCCCATATAATGCTTAATCATACTGATCTCAATAGAAAGGAAGGCCTCACCATACATCCGACTTGAACTACCTATCCAAGCTACCATGTCTGATTCTCTTCACATCTCACACTGTTATCGTACATATAAACTAAACTCTAACCTTTGGCACCACAAAGGTTACCTTTTTATATCCTTAACCTTGCACACATACATGCGCACAATAATTATTTTTTTATTTATTTGAACACATAAATATTGGTACAAGGGGCACCAGATACATATGCGCCACACAAAACAAATGAGGAATTTAAAGAGAAGGGAAAAAACAATAACAAGATTACTGTAAGGTAGTATAATGGTAGTAATAATGAGGGAAATGAAAAGGTACAACCAGGAGAAATCTTTTAGTTAAGGAAGAAGCCACCACTCTTTACGAAGAAAGTAAAAGAAGGTTACAGCAGGATCACCACTGGCTTCTATTCTGAGCCATATCTGATAACGTCTCTAGCCACTGTGTTACACCGTCTCTCAGACCCCATCCAGGGAGTCGTGAAGGACCAACAGAAGCTAGCCCTTTGCAGCTTTCCTTCATACCACGACACAATGTCATGCACTAACCACCACTCCGCATTTTACAACCTGTCCCAGAGTCGGCAAATAATGCACGACGAGGAATTCTCTGGGACGACATTCGTAGAACATGTCCAAGCCACCGAAGTCGGTGTTTCAAGATGGTGACACCAACTGAAATATTGTCTCTGTGACCGAACACACGATGCCGAATCTCTTCATTACTAACATGGTGTTGCCACTGGATGCCAGCAATCCTTCAGAGACAGCGACGATCGAACACAGAGAGTCGTCTAACATCCTCAACTCGGAGAGGCCAGGTTTCACAAGCATAGAGCAAAACTGCTCTCACCGTCGCGTTGTAGATCCGACCTTTTACAGCCAGACTAACATCACGAGGGCGCCAAAGATGACCCAGATTGACATAAGCCGCTCTGACTTTCACTATACGTGCATTGTTCTCATCACTCACGCCACCACCAGCACTTATGCAGCTAACCAGATACACAAACTTCTCGACGAGTTCTATCTGCTCAACAATCCAGAGTGAGTACAGGATTAGAATCCTGCCAGTCTTGTAGAAGTACTTTGCACTTCGAAGGTGCGAAGCACATACCATACCTACGGACACTGATTGCCAACTGATTAACTGCGGATTGCATGGCTTGGGCACTCTCGCACAGTAAGACAATATCATCCGCATACTCAAGGTCGAGAAGTCTTTCTCCAGGCAACAGATCCACACCGCCACTACTTACATCGATCAGGGCTGTTTCCAGAATGTCATCGATGGCAAAGTTGAAGAGGAATGGTGAGATTGGGCAACCCTGCCTAACCCCACTGCTCGAATGGAATAATGGAGAAAGGTGGTTGTATGCCCTCACTCTGCCTGAGGTGTTTGTGTATAGGGCTTTTAGGATGTTAACAAACTTCTCAGGCACACCCCTCTTCAATAGACAATCCCAGAGAACAGTTCTGTCCAACGAATCGAAGGCAGCCCTGATATCAAGAAACACTACGATTGTTGGCCTTTGATAAGTATGGCGGTGTTCTAACATTTGGCGGAGGGTGAAGATATGATCAATACATTGTCGACCGGAACGAAACCCAGCCTGATCCTCGCGAGTCAATCCTCGGGTTTTGAAGAACCTACGAAGTGTGACGGAAGCCAATAGCTTGGATGAAATCGGAAGTAGACTTATCCCCGATAGTTGTTACAGGAACAACGTGAACCCTTCTTAAAGATAGGGACAACTATCGACTCATTCCATGACGTTGGTACACTCTCTAGTTCCCAGATCTTTGTAAACAACGTCGTCAGTCCCTTAGTCAGAAAGTCACCACCATCTTAAAAAAGAGCCGAAGGTAAGTCGTCTGTGCCTGGTGATTTGTAACGTTTCAAGAGTTGGAGTTCCTTGCGGACTTCCGCCTCATTTGGTGGATCAGTCGTCACCGGTCATGGAGGGCAGGACAGTCTGACCGATGTTGCCGGAGCAGCAGGCCAGTTGAACTGCCCTTCAAAGAATTCTGCCCATCGTCCAAGACGTCGATGGATGTTAGTGATTGGCGTTCCGTCGTCCTCGCAGATTGTTTCGCTCACACCAAACTTCTTGCTGCCAGTGGCTCGGATGAGTTGGAAGAGCTTCCGGTAATTACCAGATGCAACTGCTGCTTCCAGCTCGTTAGCACGCTCCGACCACCAGGCTTCTCGGTCCTTACGCAAGCTTTGCTCGATTTCATTACGTAACATCCTTCGTCTGTGGTCAAACTCACGGTCACCCGGAGTAGACCGACGGGCTTCAATCAGTTGTAAGGAACCAGAAGAAACCCAGTGCTTGTAAGCGGGACGTTTCGCGAACCCACAACAGACTTGACCCGCCATTTTCATGGCGTCATGCAATTGCAACCAATGCTCATCTATACTTTTCGGTGGAATGGTAGCTAGCCTAGAAGCTAGCTCGGTTCGGTACTTACTAGCAACAGAAGTTGCAGCCAGCTTGCTAACATCAATCCTTTAGTGACGATGAATTTGTTGGCCACTGAAAAGCAAGGTAAGATTGGCGCAGACCAGAGCATGATCAGATTCCAGATAGGTACTCCAAAAGGAGCGGCAGTCTTGTACACAACCACGCCAGCGGTAGCTGATCGCGATGTGATCAATCTGAGTCCAGGCTTGAGATGCAGAAGGAGGACGCCAGGTGGCACATCGGCGATAACTGTGCCGAAAGTTAGTGCTAGCCAGAAACAGGTTGTGGTCTGTGCATAGTTGCAGTAGACGTTCCCCGTTATCTGTCCTGCGACCAACAAGTCCCCATCGGCCACCTAAACGACTCTCTTCTGTGCCTAGACGCCCGACCTGAGCATTCAAGTCTCTGGCTAGTACTACAATATCTGTCGAGCGCACTTTCTGGAGAAGAACAGTTAACTGGTGGTAGAACTCATCCTCGATTGCATCCGGGCTGCAATCTGTCGGGGCATAGGCGGAGATGACGAAAAGACATCGTTTCTCACGTCGATTTCTTCTCACTTTGATGGTACTTTCTAGTCTAACAGCACATAACCGACTGTTAATGGGGATTCAGTCGACTAGTGCTGCCTCAGCTCTAGCGCTTAGTGCGACATCAACGCCAGCAAGACCAGACGAAGATGCCACAGGGTCCCCGGATAAACGCACTTAAAACAAGCTTTTTGAAGTGACAGATGGAGAGCGAACTTTTAGTACTTCACCAGAGTCTTGAATACGGGTCTCGGATAGACAACACACATCAATATTAAGACTTTCCAAAGACATAGCCAGCCCTATCTGTTGTCCGACCTGCATAAGTGTGCGAACGTTGAAGGCAGCCAGTTTGAATGGTGCACGTGGTTTCAGAAAAACTGCTTCAGTACTCGTATTCGGTGGTAACATACAATTTTCAACCAGGCAATGACTCAAGAACATTTAGACAGAGGCGAATTTCCACCATAGGCGAGCTGCTGTATAAGTCGAAAAACAAGTATAGACAGAGTAGGGATAAAAGGGAGTGAATAAATGACGCAGCAAATAATAATAATAATAATATTAATGATGCGAGTTATTTGATTGTTAATCGGGGTGAAGAGAATATTTACCATTAGTAGACTGTTCATCAAGTTTTTGTGTGTAGGCTTTGATACTGCTCCGGTGCCCAAACCGAAGCAGGTGGTTTTCTTAGGGGGCCACACCCCGAGCCTTCGACCTGAACGTCTGACGCACAAGGCAGTGGAGCATCGTGAGGAGATGCAGTCCCATGGAAGCCGGTGACCACGAAATTGGTTTATACGCCATTTGTTCCTTCAGGATACTGGAGCCCATGTGCACCATTGGTTTGGAATCCGGTTAAAGCGCCGGATATTCGCTTTTCGTCCTTTCATTTTCGTAAACAACACCACCGCCACGAGAAGACAGTGAGTAGGACTTCCCTGGCAGAGACTATATACGCGTGGCCATGTGAGAGCATTTCGAGAGGGAGGGCGAACCCACCCCACTCTCGGCCGTAGCAGGGCATTTGGGGGCACAATAATTTACATACATGTCGCTTATAAATCACTTTGACCAAAATGACATGATGCTGACTTGTTCACATCTGATTTTGGATTGATTGTACAAAATATTCTGGCATTGTTCCCTTGTACTATTTTAACTTGGATTAATTTTTATTTGGTTATTTATCTCTGAAGAAGTGGCTTACAGTGAGTCAGGAAACGTCAGAAAACCTGATTTATTTATAGCAATCTACCCAATGCTCAATTGATTCGAAATTATCAATTTGAAACTTGGTAACGATTCCTATATATATTAAGTTGTTGATGGACAGTATAAAGAGATTAGGCTCTGGGGTAGTGATGACACCTAGTGAATAAAACAAAAAATTTCTCGAATTATCCAGATAAAAAAAATTTGACATACACTGAAAACAAGCGTTTGAAAATAGAAACCTGCGAATAGTATCCAGTAAAGACTATCCTAGTATAACTCTGAATATCAAAAGTAGGTCAATAAAAAATTGTAAGCGAGGCGTTACTAAAATTAGCGATTTTTGAAGAGTGATACTAATACGATAGGACATCATCGATATATTTTTCTATAGGTAGTAATACAGAAAA